GGCACGGCCCGAAAAACCGTCCGTGTGAACGCTCAGCTCGGGCCAAAAACGTCCGTGTGAACGCGCCTCAAGAGCGCAACAGAGCGTGACGGCGTGGGACTTGAACCCCACACCCTGCAGTGCCGACGTTAATTCCTGGCATGAATCAGCGATGGCCTGCTGTTACTCTCGTGCCGTTCTCCGTGATGCAGAATGTGATGTTCAGTCAGCGCGTAATGCCTCCCCCACACTGATAAGTAGCTCTCAGTAATCTGTGATGCAGAATGTGATGTTCAGTCAGCGCGTAATGCCTCCCCCACACTGATAAGTAGCTCTCAGTAATCTCCCAGTACAGCTAACCCAGCTAGCTGCAATCCCAGCCGGATTACATCGGAAGAGTTAGTTATAGAATAGTTATTAGAAACGATCTGCAGGGGATTTCACCTACTAAATCAGTTTCAGTTAAATAACGTCAGAAATGTGCAAATGTGAAAAAAACAAAGAACCCGCGAGCGAAAATATAGATTTATCTCGTACATTATAATTTCGGTATATATGCTTTAAACGTGGGAATCACTAAACAGCCACATTATATGTACAGTTAGACCTCAATTATCCGAACAAGACAGGCGGGGAGGATTTTGTTCGATTAACTGATAGTTCGGATAACGGGTGGTCTAGTAGCTTATTAAATATTCACGGGACCTTGAGATCCTGTTCGGAAAATCTGAAATTCGGATAATTGATGTTCGGATAACCGAGGTTTGACTGTATAAATACACACACGCACGCACGCACGCACGCACGCACGCACGCACGCACGCACACACACACACACACACACACACAAACGTACCTGGTATATCTGTGGAACAGCAGTTGTGTAATGCTGGTGTTGTAGTTCATTGAATTTCTGTAGCTGTGTCGCATAATCACTTTTACTATCCTCGAATTGCTGTCCCTTCAGCTGGGCTGTGTTCTTTTGCTGCAAAGACATTCCCGAAGAAATTTCTTTACCACTCCACAACCCGGGTACATTAACGATAACATAAACAGCAATCAATACATCCACACCCCTCCTATCCCGCTCTCGTCCTGCTGCGAGACCTCTGGCGTTAACAGATGCTGCAAAGCTTGTGCAGAGAGTCAACGATCTAACGCAGCAGTCACTGATGCGGCCCGGCTCTTACTGGGCCTCTCCTACTGGGCTGGGCCTCTCCGCGGCGACGAAACCGAATTGACCATTTTGAATTCAAACTTGATTTGAAGACCAGAATTGAAACCAAATTTGACGAACACTAAGCTGAGACTCCCCGATTCCTATTCCATCCACACAAGGCTGATACGTGAGTTAGTTCTCTCTGAGGGAAGGGGAGGGGAGGAAGGGGGGAAGCTAGAAAGCCTCAGCTTTGTAACAGCTGTTGTGAGTCGCACCAGGCATGGCAAGAGTGCGGTTTAGTATCGCTCCCCAATGCTTGGATGGAAATTAACGAGTAATGATGTGGAATCGCGCGACAATATGCGTCATTAAATGCTTTATTGACAATAATGCTGTAGAGCAGGCCAGACCGTGTGCACTGCTGCTTGAAATGAAAACCGGTAACAACCCTACAGGGCAGACACTTCGACCTGCGTGCAACACCACAATTACCTAGACGCACCTTTACCTGCCGTGCTATAGATGACCTTCTCCACGTCTTAGTAACCCTTGTTTATGTGTCGGGGACCATTTCCACATTTAAATTAAGTTCTCCATATCTCGGTAACTCTCTCAACACCTCAGTGGCTTTCTGTCTCAGTGGCATTCTCTATGTCCCGGTTCTGGCTCTCACAATTCCCCCTTTCTACATCTCAGTGTCATTCTCAACATCCCAGTTACCTCCCACATGCTTCAGTTTCCCCCTCCACATTTTAGTTACCTCGCCCATGTCTCATTTGCCTTCCCCATTTCGCAGTTCTTTCCCCCCATGACTCAACTACCTTCCTCATGTGCCGGTTACCTCTCCTACGTCTCAGTTATTTCCTACATGTCTGTTACCTCCCCCATGCCACAGTTACCTACTTCTCTCCGTTCTCAATTAGCCTTCTCTCGGACCCCAGGCGACTCCATACACGTCAGTTACCTTCTCGGTTCTCAGTTACCTTCCTGCACCACAGTTACCTTCTCACGTTCAGTTACTCTTCTCCACATCTCAGTTACCTTCTCTATGTCTCAGTTACCTTCCCCAAATTACCTTCTCTCGACCCCAGGTAGGCTCCCTACACCTCGGTTACCTTCTCCACGTCTCAGTTACCTTCCCATATTACCTTTCCTCGCACCCAAGCGATGGCTTCCACTACACTCTCGGTTACCTTCTCATATGTACTCAGTTACCTTCACCAAATTAGCCTCCTATCGACCCAGAGGGTAGAGGCTCCGCTACACCTCGTTAACCTTATCTCACGTCTTAAGTTACCTTCTCTCATGGTCTCAAGTTACTTCACCAAATTACGCTGACTATCGACCCATGGTACGGCTCCGCTAGCACCTCGGTTACCCTTCTCCACGTCTCAAAGAAAAATCATTACCTTCTCTATGTTCTCGCAGTTACCTTCACCACAATTAGCCTCCTCTCGACCCCAGGTAGGCTCCCTACACCTCGGTTACCTTCTCCACGTCTCAGTTACCTTCTCTATGTCTCAGTTACCTTCACCAAATTACCTCCTCTCGACCCCAGGTAGGCTCCCTACACCTCGGTTACTTTTCTACGTCGGCTCTGACAGGTTTCAGATCTGCCTCCGCCCGCTCATATTGCCAGAGCTTCGCTCCGTAACGCAAGAGTCCTGGTGTGCCGATTTTTCATAACAACTCATATGCATGTGGAAAGGTGGGAAGTCGCGTAGATAGTTGGATTATTCTCATTTCTACGCAGCGCTCGCACGCACGCTGCAACGCTGCGCGCGCTCGCAAGCATGCAAGGCACGCAGGCAATGGACGCTCACATGCAAGTACACACACACGCACACCACGCATACAGGCACACACGCACGCAGCTAGTGCAGGCACGCACACAAGCAGACGAGCCAATGTTACGTATGCAGGCCACGAATGCACACACGGCAGGCACACACCAGCATGCCCACACACCGCACGCACACACGCACTCGCACACACCACGCCAAGTATGCGCATGCGCACGCACGCCACACACACACGCAACACACACATACATACACTATTGCAAGCCATAAACATGGCCCATCGAGATATTGCTGCCTAACGGATGCACTGCACGCCGCCGCATTACGGTGTGTAATTAGGAAGTACATGGAAGCCTCCTGTCTGACCCATCCCTCCCCCACAACCACCACCAGCGCGCGTGACGGAATTGCTACAAACTACTTCATCACCGAACGCGTGAGTCACGTTTACACCACCGCGCGTCCATCGAGCACATTGCCTTCTTTTTCAGCACTGCTTTTTTAGTTTACTGTATTTTAGTTACTGTCTACTATTTTCTGGCAGAGTTAAATCAAGAGCACGCTTGCAGCCGTGGGGCATGTTATGCGAATGGGAACGCACTGTAGCACGAAATTCAATCGAAACTTGTCCATGCAAACGCAGTGTATAAACACACCGCAACCACCACAACCACTCTGTGTTACACCCATCGCACTTGGCCAGACCCTCTCTGGCCACTATGTGTGCCACGCTATCTACACACCTAGATCCGACTGTGCAATCATAACCTCCGTGTGCGCGCACCACATCACAACGCACGCACCACCGCGACGCACGTGAGCGCACACACACGCGCGCGTTTATCAGGTGCATGTAGTGCTTTTTGGGTGTGTGGATGGAGGTACGGCATGGATACTGCGACCGGCAGTACAGTATAAGAGCTGCTGTTGGTCCCACTGCCTTAATTACACGGGCATCGGTTATCAGGAGGTTTATTATCAATATATTGCATATTAATTGATAGTAAATTGATATCTAATTGATAACTCTGTGATTCGCTTAATTAGAGCAGCTGGATGTTTCCCGCAGCCACGACTCTTATGGTTAAAGCCCAGCAAGTGAAAAGACAAATTACTTTGGTATGAAAGATAGAGCGCAAGTCTCTTACAATGTAGGATTAGCATAGTAAAGCAGGACTAGCTGTCTAAGTTGTAGTCTGCCCTATAGACTATAGCCTTAATAGAGTCGACTGAGCTACTATAGAGTAGGTCTACCTACAGACTGGCAGCATAGTGTAGCTTGCTAGATAGCCACTAGTACTGACATATTAACATTTAGTAGTATAGTTAGCCTCGCGTCATAGGCAGCTGCCACTACGCACGCATATCCCCCTGCCTAGCAGCACTATACTAGTACTCCCAACAAGGGGAAAAAACATATATTTTAGTTTTTTCGGGGGCTACTTTCAAGCTCGACTGCATGAAATAGCACTCTAAAATTTGTTTGTTTATTGAACTTCTATGCAAATTTCCGGGCTCTTTTTGGCATTTGCCGGGCCTCCTTTTGGATTTCGGGGCCTAGAATCGCCCCGGCAAGCGCCGCCGAGTGATATTTTTTCTCACTGTCCCAACCAGGCGGCAATAATAGGATGCGAAGTGAGATGTAGAGACTTTTGCTAGTAAGTAGCTATTCGCTATTTATTTAGATTACATTTTATTGAAACGCCTCCAAGCTGCTGTAGGCGATTTGACGGGCGTGTGAGATCGCCGGACCCCCGCAGACACAAAGATTATACATGTATTTTCAGAGGATTCAAGCGAAAGTAGGGGTGCACTTTCACCGAGGCGTAGAGGGAGGGTGCCGCCTGCATGGCGAGCATAGTGTTAAGGATTACGCTTATGCGTCGAAGGGTTAGGTTAGGGTATAGGTTTTAGAGTTAGGGGTTTAGGGAAATAGGGACCGACATGTTAGCATGGAGGTATGACTGACTGAATGGCGAGGAGAAGTGGATATGCATGTTGGACTAGTGATGAGCCGCACACGTCAGCGGCACCTCCTCTACGCCCTAGGGGAAATGACACCCGGCTGACATCTCTCTGGAAAGGAAACATGGCCGGTGTATATTTCGCCAGGCGGTCCCGGGGATGTCAACACACGCGCCGAATCACCACAGGCAATTACGAAACGCTCCGGTGCCCATGGCAGTTGCTCGAGGGTGGACGCCGCTCATGAGCGGAGGGGTGACAGTCGCTCGAGAGAGATATTTGGGCTGAGAAGACGTAGACGTCCTTTGTCTATGCGATTTCTTGATTCTGTAGAGTTAGCTTTGTGGCTTCTGGCGCTCGCGTTGGAGGCCCAGTGGCTGTGTAGGAAAGGGGAAAAAAGCACGGAGGGGCAAAATGGAAAGACAAGGATTAGGATTTGAGAGAGGACACGAGGGGAACCAGAGCGAGAGTGAGTGTGAAAGGGGAGCTAGTTAAGGGGAGAACGCCGAGGGGAGAGTTGTGAGGACGG